CTTGCCTCGTTTGCGAAGCAGAACAGTGATCATGTCCGTATGGTCACTAGTAACAAAACCTGGAAGGCCACATGGGCCAGAAGGGTTGCCGACATGGTCGCTTCCTACCGCAAGGCTTGGGAAACCAACGCCCATACAGCAATCCTATCTCGCTTGTTCTTACAGGATTGCGAAACGCCAATGCCGAAATCGCAAGGCATTTGCTTCGATGATATCCATTTGACTCCCACATGGGATATCCACCCAAAGTCAGAAGCCTGCGACTGTTATGTTCGATTCGACTATCCATATTTCTACGAGAACATGGTGATGTCTGACTCTACCATCAATGTTGACACCTTCAAAGAAAAGCTTCGTCTCTTCATCACATCATTGTACTACAAGAACGAGCACGCGTTCCAGGTCAAGCTGTGCTTCTTATGTGCTGCCTTTCAGGACGTGTGTACTGGAAAAATGCTATTCCAAATCGGTCGTGGCGGAGACGGTAAAGGCATGGAAGCGGTACTCGATGCAGCACTCTTTGGGTCCTTATCATCGGCAAGTCTCGACTGTGGTGTCTTTCTGGATCGTATGGAGTTTCGCAAGAGCGCAGAATTGGCGTGGAATAAGTCCAACATTCGCATCCAGGAAATGGACACCAAAGTGCGATTTCTGTCCGATATATGGAAAAGGTTCATAGTCGATGAAGAGATCGACTGTAGAGTGAACTACGGATTCACGACGAAGAGACGTTTTGGAACATCCTTGAAGATACAGGAGGTAAACTACGAAAATGTTCCTGTCATCGAGGAGAGCAGAGACATGAACAAGGCCTGTGAACAACTTCGCAGACGAGTGGTTTGTATTCGGATGGGGAATGCAACATACACACCGAATCCTGCCGAAGTTGATCACAAAAACGGCCTCTATCTGCTCATTCCACAGGATGAACTGACATCTTTTCTTCGTCACCCGGTTACAGCAGCACTGTATTTGCGAGAATGGTGCTTGCCCTTCTTCCAGGAGAACTCTTTGGCGGATTGCTTGAAGATGTTGCATGATTTGAAGTCAATTGATGATCGTCTGGAAGCAGACACCCAGTGGTTGGCAGCCAAACTATCTGGGCGAGATCTTCCACCTCCTGGCAATGATCGGACATTACTCGACGCCAATGACGAGATCGTAGAATTGGTACATGGTGCAACTCCACACAAGTCGATCATCAAGGAGTACTTGCTTCACAAAATCGAGGAGCTTCCAGGGTGCATAGCATCAAGTCGTGGTCGTACCACCAAGCTTCAGACCTTCGTTAGCGCAATCGATCATTCAGCCATGAAACTCTTTAAGCAACTGGACCACAACTCATTCGAGAAGCTGCAGATCAACTGGGCGAAGCTGAAGCAGTCGATGATTCGATGCGGAGGTCAGGAAATGTTCGGTAATTGGATGGAGTGGACGTGCCCATTTGATCTGAATTTTGTCATCCAGTCGTGGGATGGCAATGCATTCCATGACTACTCAGCATTCTACATGCAACATTGCACATCCAGAGGCAATGCCGATGCACTACTTCGACCACTGGCTGCTGCAGTACAGGAGAGTGTTGAGCTTGAACAACTCCGACGATATGCTGAACAGGGACATGATCGCCGACAAGAGCTTCTGGAAGCCTACATACATCGTCACGACACCGCGGGGTTCTTGGATGCAGATGGTATGTCAGTGATTGAGGTGGAGTACTACACGCGGCCATGCTATGGTAGACTACTTGCTCGTGGTGTTTCGGGACAGAAGCTTACCAGGGAGGCCAGAGCGGTGGCCTTCCAGCATTGCACCGAGGTAGACGCAGCTTGTTGCCACCCCCGTCTTTTGCGACAGAAGTTGATGGACTTGGATGCTTGGTCAGATGCCAAGTACGTCATGCTATCTCGCTTCATCAAGAACTACAAGTCGTGGCGTCAGTGTATCGCCGACTACATGGACATCTCATTGGATGATGCCAAAGTCGAGCGTATCAGGCTGTTTTACGGAGGCAAGCCTACCTGTAGCATTCCATTTCTCCTGAAGCTATGCTCGGAGATTCAGCTCGCAGCACAGGTGATCGTTCATCATGAGAGTTCACGACGCTGGCAACAGTTATACTCGGATCGCCGCAATCCTGAGTTTTCCCGTCTATCTGGGATACTTTCCTTTGATGAGGCCAGTATGCTTGCAGAGGTGTCCAGTTTGATGGGAGACTCCATGTGTGTCTTGCTCTTCGACGGTGGCTACATCAGGTGTCGTGACCTACATGATGACGTTGCCTTGCATCATGCTTTGGAGACTGAAGATTCTCGTGTCGGTACACAGATTCGCCGATGGGGACCCTTGACCACTAACTCTCTGCCTCGACTTCTTGTGCGTCGTGGTCTCGCGCAATTCTACCGCACACAGGATGTAGTGGACTATGGGAACTGTCTTCTCACTTCACTCTACTACATGGAGCACGAGTGTGATTTGGGTGAACTCACCGAGAATGAGCTTGACGATGGCATCTCGGCCAGAGAGTTCAATTTGTACTCATTGCACTGTTCACAGAGGGATGAGAACGCAGTGCATGCTTTGAAGTGGCTACCTGATGGTTTTCGACCTGATGATGCTACAAATGGTGCAGTCTATGTGTTCCATGAACAGTCGAGCCCAGGAGTAGTCGGTCATTGGTGGACTGCTAAAATCTGTGGGGAAACGGAAATAGCGGTTTTTGACTCCACAGCTCCAGAATGTCTCATGGGTGCCAAGATCGTGGATTTTCAGACTATCCTGGAGGAGATCGACGGTATGAATGCTTTCCTACTCATTTTGACGACGGCGACTGAACCGGTAGACATGCCTCTTCACTCCGCGTACGATCTGCGAGGTGCAGGTCCACCCGATACAGATGCAAATACTCTTTACATCACCGCTCCAATTTGCGTGGAATGCAGTTCTCCTTTGGCGCCGGCTCATGAAGTGGCAGGACGCGTCTACACATTGAGCGGATTGCGGCAAGTGGTGGTTACAACAAAACGCTGCTCGAGGAAAAGCTGTCGCGCACACCATCACTACAATTACAGAAAGGTCGACGGTCAAAAGTACCACAGTCTGCCTTTGGAAGACCTGGAGTACCTCTTCGTGAACAGCAAAGTAGGATTCGAACGCACCTTCTTGGACTATCACGACGCGCTTCAGTTCCGCGGAGGCATCAGTCACAATGCCATCGAGTTCGCGCAGTCGCAAACACTTTGGGAAGACGCAGAACAGCATTACAGATGGCATCGTGAGTGCGCGAGTGCGCAGCTCTACTACTCCGTCATCGTGGAAAGCACTGAGATGTGGGGCAATTCCACAGCAACCATGAGACGTCGAATCTTCAACATTGAGATCGACGACCCGCTGTCGAACGACTTCTTGACTGAATACCAGGACTGGTGGCACAAACATCAGCTTTCTAGAGTCGAATGGCAAAAGGTCACCGAAGTGGTGATGGATGGCCATGAGAAAGTCGCCGCAAAATGTCCCGGAATTCCGCTAGCTCGCGCCGGTCGCCCACGCAAAGACGGTCAGACTCCGCAGCGACAGAATGGCTGGTTCATGGCCATTGACCCAGGGAGCGGCCTTATCCTTTCTGTCACGAACATGTTGGAGCCGGAGAATAACGAGGTTGCGAAGGCAGTCCTGAACAAAGTTATATCTCGTGCTTCCAATTTGAACTGTGTCATTTACGACAAGATGTGCGTTTGTCAGAAAGCCTTCAGTTCCGACCAGAACTTCGCGAAAGTGAAGTATTGGTGCGTAGATCGCTTCCATGCAAAAGCTCACGGTGATCGTTGCCCATGCTCGCCTTTGCTTCATCGCCGACTTGATCTTCGATTGCGTGATGTCAACACCTCGATTGCAGAACAGACGTTCTCGTGGTTCCGCGGATATGCCTCCAGTTTCAACACCAAGAACGCAGACACACACATCTTCTATGTCCTGCTGTATGTCAAAAAGCACAATCTCCTTGTCCGCAAAGACTACATTCGCCACCTGAATCCCTTCAGTGCTCGGGCCAAGGCATCCAAGTCTCGCCATGTTCTGACGCGTCCATCGTCCAAGAAGTATCATTGTCGTCGCCCTGCTGCCTCCGGTCGTGCTGGTGTCGTCTACAAGAAGCCGTCCAAGAAAGTGAGGAAAAATCACATCAAGCAGAAGTGAGAGAGATTTTACGGAGCGCAGAAAGATTTTGTTCAGAGAGAATTGTAGCAAAGATGTTACAGTTGTATGGCATAGTATATTTTCAATCTGGTGTTAGTCCAGAGCTCTAGGTGCAGGCAAGCTACACGCAGCTCGCATCGCATGCAGAGAGATATGTAGTTATAGTAGTAGTACTAGAGGAAATGTTGGGAAATCACATATGTGCAAATCGTTTCGAAAATATCAGAAGAGGATCTCTCTGTAGTGACACTGCCTAAGACCCGCAACCGCTGAGACTGATGCGTCATGAAAGCAACGATCCACTCAGTTGCCTTTACACAATGCCTCTGTTAGCTGTCTTATGCAGAATAAGAAATATTTAGAAAAATAACACATGATTTTGCCGGCTAAGGTCATGCGCTCAGAGTGACACTGCCTCGACGTTAGCTTGCTGTATGTGCGTATTAGCTCTATATAGAAGGCCTGTGTTTTTCTATCCAAATGTAAATAGTTGCATGACAAGTTATATAAATCAAGAAAAACACGTAGTTTAGTACGAAAAACACAGGCCTGTATTCCAACGCACTCTCTCTCTCTCTCTCTCTATATATATATATATGTATATATATATATACACACACACACATATGTACATGACCTTATATGTATATGTGTATATATATGTACACACACAGATAGCGGATTTCCACTTCCGCAGTTTGCACGGGAACGTGCCCTGCGTCTCTTTTGCCTGCTTGGACCTTTCAGCTTGTAGATTCAAACTTGCATGGGAACTCAAAACCGTTGAAACGGGCATTGAGGCACTCATGGCGGCCTACATTTACATGCTGAAAAGAAGCGGTAGCGCGCTGCCAGAACCAGGGAAAAATCCTTGCTTGGTCATGAAGCTATTGCACACGCGCCACTGCTTGATGACTTACAACGGTGGACCCTACACGATTTCGCAAGCTTGCGAAAGGAGCTGTTGCCACGCAGTGCTGAAGTCTGTTTCGGATGACGCCTTGACTGCAAGACTGAATGAAGTGCAACGCACTAGGCACTTCCGAAGCTTGCCAAAGCTGCAGCAAGTGGGCATGCTGCTGCTCAGCATATGGCTCCGGAGCACGCAGCCGCCAGCCAGCAGTATTCCAAACCTTACATGAATCTCAATAATCGCTTCGCAACCCTTCCCCCAGGTTCGCGGACTTTCTGCTTGTGCAAGCCACAGACAGCTCCAGCCCCTTCGACCTGGTGGGTGTGGTGAACGCCTTCTACAAGGCAGTCCAGTGTGCTTTTCTCAGCCGCCGCAAGAAACCTTGCCTCTATCAGGAAACTGGCGGTGTGGATCGACTGGCTTTTTTGCCACTGCGTCGCTTCCGGGGCAAGTAATCACAGGCGCATGCTATGTCGAGAGCCGTGTGATGTGTAAGACGTGCTGGTCATTAATCATAACTTCCAGGACATGAGTGAGCCAAACCGACTTCTCCACGGTTCCCAGTTTTTGCGGTCGCTTCATGAGTCTCGATTCAAGCATTTGGAGAAGTCTATGCGCTTTGCTGACAGCGGGGACTGGCGATTGGATGCTGACATGCACCCTGCCTGAATAGCTAGTCTTCAGAATTAAAGTGCCTGCTGAGCCACCGCCCCATCCAGGTTAGACCAGTGGAACATCTTTCCAGCGCAGCAGCTCATGGCACCTCACTTCCGCAGGAGTCTTGAAGAGCTGGGCCGTCTGCGCAACTACGCGTCGGCTTGGCGCTGGTTGGTGAGCTAGCTGCATACAGCGTGGGCCTGTCGGGCTCATTGTCAAACACGTTGTATGACTGAGGAACGGCATGATCAGCAAGCTCTTCGGCCGATGGGCAGGGAAGCAATCCGTCGGCGCAGTGGCAGCTGGAGTGGCGGAGGCGATGAAAGCCGTCCCGCGCGAGTGCCCGAAGCGGCTGAGGATCCTTGAGGAGCTTGAAGGCAAAACTCGGAGTGCACGCCATATAACCGCACTGTCGGTCGTTTCACGCACGCAGTGCCGGCAGGCGAACGTGCATGTGCATATGTGTATATGTATGCATATACGTATCTGTATTCGTATACATATGCGTATACGTACACGTACAGACATACATGCACACATACATGCATACATGCATGCAGTGCAGCGAAACCTACAAGTCCTAAGCCCTCGACCGGACAGTCCAAGGACAGAGACGGAGAACATTCTATCTGCTGCGAGATGCTCGGCGTTCGAGTTTCACCGGCTCAACTCCTTGTGGGGTTGCAGAAGGTGTTGTTTCGTGAAAGATCGGGACTACTCCTAAGTTGCTGCTATGGGGATGGCTTTATGACTTTATGAATGCTTAAACCAAAAACCCCAAACACTATCTAGGGATTTAGGGTTTCAATGTGGTGTACTGGATGTATGAGAGGTTTTATGCCCTAAACCGTATCTAGGGGTTTAGGGTCAGTCTGCGTACTGGATTTGGAGGTTTAGAGCGGGTTTGGGGGCTTCCCCGCTGCTCTAGGGTTGCGAGGTCAAGGCTTTAGGGTGAGGGCCTTATGTTTCAGGGGTTTAGGGTTTAGGGTTTTAGTTTTAGGGCTTGTAAGTTTTAGGGGTATTTTATGGCTTGGGGTTTCTTTCGGAATTAGGATTTGGAGCCGCATCTGCGAGCATCTATTGAACGCCGAGCTAAACCCTAAACTGAGGTCTCTTTTGTTTTCGCAGCTGCACCCCAAGAAGTAGGATGTAGCCTTACAGCAATAAGCAGCTTGAGCCAGAGGTAGAGGAAAGCTGCTCTTCTTGAAGGTTTCCCACAGCTCAGGAAAGCTGCTCTCCGTGACGTGCGACTGCTGCGAGAAGCTGTCCCACGAGTGGGACATCGTCGAGCCGACCCAAAGGGTGCACAATGAAGTAATACGTAACAAAAGAATGACCATGGTAATAACGACGAAGTGTGAATGGTAAATGAACAAATTCATGGAGCCTGATTTTTATGCACAAGCGGGGCTTGAGGTCCAGTATAACAACAGATGACATACGGACTAGAAGGGTGGTTGTCAAAACTAGGGTGTTTTTTTGGGTCCTCTTTATTTTGCGGCACCTAATATTTAGGGTACCCAAAAAGGTGACCCTCTTAATAAGGGAAAGCCTTAAAGCCTGCTGAGACCCCCGGGGCTTGGGGTCGGGAGTTGATGGCAAGTGCAGTTGGGCCCGATATCCAAAAGCCCCAAACCTCAGCCCTCCTAAAACCCCTTAAAATCGGTTTTGGGTTTAGGGTTTAGGGGTTTAGGGTTTAGGGGTTTTGGGTTTAGGGTTGAGGTGTTTAAGGGTTCAAGTTGTGGGGTTCCGACCCTCCTAAAGCCCCGAAAAGGCTTAGGTCCTAAATGCCCATGTAGAACCCCACAAGGAGGGAACTCCTAGAAGCAACTTTTTTGTTGCGGTGTTCTCTTGGATCTTGGTTTCCACGGTTTAGGGTTTAGGGTTGGTTCCAAGACCTGAGGCTTGGGTTGGCTTCTTTTCGGGAAACCAACATAGGCCCTAGACGAAGCCTATGTTTTCTCACAATAGTCTCTTGGTTTCAAGACCTGAGGCTTGACTTGGGTTCTTGTCGGGAAACCAACATAGGCATCCGGGGTCTGTAGTAAATTAAACTGGTTTCCAGTCTTTCGTAACTTAAATATCAAGGCCCCCTACACTCCCTCCCCCTACCCTATGAGTTGTTGTTTTTTTTCCACTGCCTGCTGGTTGTCTTGCCCATCAACTTGTTCAGGTGTGCATTCCATCATTGTGTGTTTGGCACTGTGTTTGCCTTTCTTTCACTTGTGTGTGTGTGTGTGTGCGTGTGCGTGTATGCATGTTCGCGACTGTTTTTTTATTCCTGTCTACCGGAGCCTTTCGCGTTTTGCTGCATGCTTTTAAAATCCCAGGAAGCACCCCCAACAACCTGTTTAATGTAGGAACATGATTAACCCCAAATATTTTCGATTTTAGGTTTCATATACTGAAGAACCCAGAAAAGGCCCAAGGTTTCTTAATCAGGTTCATAACCCTAAACCCTCAACCCCAAACCCAACAACCTACATACGCGAAAGCCCTCCATCTGCCGAAGCCGGGACTGCACCGATCGTCCGAAATAGTTTAATTCTCCAACATGCCGTTGATGGTATAAGTTCTGCATGACCTTAAGGACCCTAAACTATGGGAATGATGGTACTTATTTTGGGTAATGCAGGATTTATATGATCCACTGTATCTTAATCCCCCGTAAGCTTCTCAGAATCCTTAAGCACCCTATTATGCTCCCTAAACCTGGCCACTTTACCCCTTAACCCGAAAACCGACCCCCAACCCATAGACCCTAAGCCTTAAACCCCCAAACCCCAGCCATTGCACTTTGAAAAAAAAGCCAAACCACAAACCGTGTATAAACCCCAAACCCTAACTAAGCCCTTAACCCCAACCCCCCAAGCCCCAAACCCCTCAGACCCTAAACCGTATACCCGAAACCCAAACAAAGAGCGCCCGCTGAGCCCTGGGAGGTGCTTGAGCTGCTACGATATCCCGGGGCTCGGAAGGCGTCAGCTTCGTTTAGGGGGTTTTCTAAAGGTGCTAAGGGTTTTCTAGGGGCTTTTCGCGACTAAAGGGTTTTGAGGGTTTTTAAGGGCTTAGGGTTCGGGGTGTAGGATTTTAAAGTGTTTAGAGTTTAGGGTTTCATGGAAGGGTTTGGGGGTTTGAAGGGTTACAGGTTGAGGGCTTTATATCGGGCTTTGCTTCTGAGGTCAACAGCGGTTTCTTTGCTGGTTTTTATATGGCTTTCATGAGAGTCTCTGGCTTTTCGTTAGGGGGAGTTTTCCATTTGAGTCATCGTATAAAACCCTAGTCCCTAAAACCTCCATAAGATTCCAAGCCCCTAACAACCATGTACTCTCCCAAACATTCACCGACACAACTACTACATATCCTAAACCCAAGCAAAAATGCAAGACTAGCACTCAGAAGTAAGAAGTCGTACCCGTCCCTCAGAGTCCACTGCATGTTCTGCACGACGTGGACCAGGAACTCGCAGCAAACGGACCGTCTCTTGCATAGCTCTACAGCTGAAACCAAAATACAGCTCCACAACCCTAATACTAACCATGTTAGAAGCCTGACTTACAAAAGAGGGTGTTTCCCTTCGCGAGGGCGAGAAGCCTCCCACATTGTCCATGCGGCAATGCATTGCTTTGAGCCTTGGCGGCCGTGTTGAAGCGTTGATAGGTTTTTGGGTTTGTCCGGGTTCTTTGCGAGGTTTCCTTCGATTGTGGTAAGAGCCGTAGCCTCTTGGGTTTTAGGAGATCCAAAATCGCGTAATCAGCGAATGTAACGAAACTGAGTATGAGGATCGACCGTGAGCTTCCAAAACCCTCTAAAAAACCCTGATCCCCTCAACGTTTTCATGAACTAGTATAGATTCGGAATTCACGGATGTGAGCTCTGCGTAAGCTAATCCCTAAACCCTAAACTATGTCCCGCCTCCTCCACATGGACATGGTGATGGCCAGGCAGGCCGGGCTCGAAGAGGAGCGCGAAAGAATCGAGTGAGTGGGTGCGTTACACGTCCCAGACCGGCAACGCGCATGTGACCAAGAAAGCTGTCGACCCTAACAAGAAGGCACCAGGAGAAATATGATGCGTGCCTCCTATAACTTGATTTTAATATTAGTACGATGCAACACGCGCAGGCACTGCGCGACAAGAAGAAGGAGGCCAAAAAGGCTGAGGAAGCAGCCAAGCGAGCCCGCGCACACCTCCAGATGTTGCTTGATGTACATGTTTGCATGAACAGGAAGGAAGACAAGAAAGCTGCCAAAACAAAGAAGGCAGAGGCAAGCCTGGCCGCGGTGGAGGAGGCGGGGCCCGAGGTGGCAGGAGTTCAGAAACCGCGGTGACGTGAGCTGGAACACTGCAGGCAGGCGACCAAGGCTTTCAAGAAGCAACAGTATGAAAAGACTTGGTCGAAGAAAAAGCCTCGCTGGAAGTGCTGCGGCAGAAGGAGAAGGAGGACGACCAGGCGCATTCGTTCCGAAGCTGCACAGTCATGTGCGCAATGAAGCTGACAGGCTGCGCGAAAGCTCCGGGACAAGAGGGCGGCCGACCAAGAGAACCCGGCCAACAATCGAGCCCGTAAGAAAGGCAGCCCCTTAAGAGAGAGGTCTGGAGTTTTTGCGCGAAACGCATCTGGGTTCATGTCAGGAGCCCCACTGCCGTTCCCGGCGCGGGCAACCCTTGGACCGTAAACCATCAACCCGACAAAAAACCGTGGGGCCCCAAGTGCCAAGTCTTCAACCCCAAATCTTAAATCATAAGGGCAACTCTACGAGGGTTCCTAAAATTGGACCAAACTTACGTTTAAGATTTAGTTATAGGTGGCCTACAATAGTTGATTTCGAGGAGTTTAGGCGGTTAGGGTGCATGGGTTCCATGTCAGGGTTTTGGGCTTCGGGATTGGCGGCGACAGGGTTTCGGGGCTATGGGTTTGGGCGTTTAAAAGGCTCAAGCCTTCGAACCCAAAACTTAAGCTAAACCGCACAGACCCAAACCTGAATGTCGAAAGCCCGAAAAACGTCCCGATGTGTGGGATCTCGTCATCCTAGGGGTCGGACGGGGTAGAATGCAATTCTTGAGATATCCTTGTTATGGATTATAGTTGGAGGATCATGGGACTTAGTAAGTTAGGTTATATGTGCCTTAGTTGGAGTTATAAGTATAGTTACCTTATCTATAACCCTTTTTACTAAGTCCCATGATCCTCTAAGTACTTCGACTGTACGCACATCGTGTTCTGATTCATCCCGTAGATCGGGGTCCCTCAGAAACAGCCCTTTGCCCCCCCTAACGGTCTTAGACCCTGACGCCCTAAACCCGAAAGCCGTTTAAGCCTAAACCCGAGACCCTACTCCCCAGCCCTCCCCAGACCCTAAAACCTAAACCCTAAACTCTGAACCCCACACCCTCGAACCCCAAAGCCCGAAAGACCGAAACCCTACAGCCTTCTACGTAAAAAAACCCAAGCCATGAGCCCAAAAGCACCCTTGAATCTCCAACCCCGAAACCCAGGAACCTCAAATCCCAGACCCTAGCCCTAAACTCCGACACCCTAAACCATAGAACCCCAAACCCCAAACCAAACGCACCCCAGGTCGGATCAAGATCGCTTTTCGACCTTCGTCTCCTCTTCCGGCGAGTCCTGAGCTGGTATTTGGGGTTTCGGGTATAGGGTCTAGAATTAATTATATAGGGTTTAGAGTTTAGGGGTTTAGAATTTACGGTTCAGGGTTTAGGGTAGGGTTGAAGTATTTTGAATGTTTCCTTAATGATTTCCTGACGGGTTCCAGTAAAGGTCCTGCAAAGGGTAATTTACTTGTTTGTTGAATTTCTTGAGGCTAGGGTTCGTGCAGTTAATATAGGGGCCCTAATAGTTTGAACAGGGTTTTGGGACCCATTATGCTGTTTTATGATGAACCACCAAAATAATATAGGTAACTATTGAGGCCCCTACATTATTCCATTCTGGGTTCCTGCAAAAGTCTCCCGCAAAGGAGCCACCCCTCAAAGGGGTTTTAAGGGTAAAGGGGCTTTTAAAGCGGGCTAGGTAAGGGTATTTAGCTATTCTGCAAGGGTTTCCCGGGTATTGTGACAATCTACGGGCGGGTCTTTGACAAGCTTTTTTCGGGATTTGTCAGGGTATTTGAGGATCAGCTGAAGCAGAGGCCAAGGGAGTTGGAGCATTATGTTTCTAAAGTACACTAGAGAGCACATCCCAGCATTTATGATACCTTCATCCAGTTTCGGTTTGCTGCACGGATTCTGGCTACTGGTTTTGTTGCTTTGCGCCGGCTTCGCACTGTCTTGCAGGGCTTGGGCGTCGATCGGTTTTCCAGCGGCTTACAGCGGTAAGTTAGTCAGGGATGTCGGGAAACCCCACCATTCTAGCGCAATTGCTCTTCTTATGATGTCGGTTTTTTTGATGTGCGTGCAGTGTGTCTGTGTGTATTGGTCTGAATTTCAGGGTTTGGGGAGGCATCAGGGTTTAAGAAAAAGATGATTGTGCATGTGATCATGCCTGGGCGGCTGGCTCAGTGGGCCGCAGTGTCCTGACCTCCGAAGAGCACACAGAAGATCCGGCTTGACGGTTGAGGCAGTCTGTGCCATGGCGAAATCATGAGTACGAACACGGGGAGAAGTGCTGGAAACGGAACTTCTGGCAGGGACGAGTCTTCCCTGGAGCACGCGTTTCAGCTTGATATCCGTTCCTTCTGCATCAGCAGCTCGTGTTGTTCCTGCTGTTCGTTGTTTGTCGTTGTTGCTGTTGCAGACACTCGTCATCACGGTGGCCGTTGTTCTCGCAACCCTCGCAACCATATAGCAGTCCTAGCAAGAACCGCTGGATAAAACCAGAGGTATCCGTTGCGACCGCGGTAGCAAACAGAACTTGCCGGTGCCGTAACGATGCTACTGCTGATTACAGAGGCTAGGTTTTGATCGGTTTCATAAGGTTGTACAGGGTTGTGTTAGGTATTGTCGGGCAATGATAGGGGCCCTATTCAATAGAGTTTAACAGTATAGCGTTTAGAGCATCATGATTGTACTACACCCATAGTACACGGGTCACGGGATCCTAACAAACCCTTAAGCCCGAAACCCTAAACCAAGTCCCATGACTAGATATTCAGGACTGCCGACAGCCCAAAGCCTTAACCCAAACCTTACGGGCGTCGAGCTCGAAGCAGCGGCGCGAATATAGGGTTTGGGAAAGGACTTGGACGTAGGGTTACTTAGAAGTAACTTTTAATCTTTTGTTCCTTCAACCCCCAAGAAACAGTTAAAATCATAACTTTTGCTAGGGGTCTAAGATCAGTAGAGTGTAGTCCATCTGCAGGATTAAAGGTGTTCGTGTTTCAGGTTGAATGTGTAGGGTATGAATATGCCACTGCATCTTCTTGTGTAGGTGTAGTATGAATCACCGCAAGATACCCAGGCTTGATCATTGTTGTTGTTGTTGTTGACATTTATTGGTTTTGTTAGGAACACATGACACATGATCTAAGGCAAGAGCAGTGCTTTAACACATGGAGCCGAGTACACACACACACACACAGACACACACGCGTGTCGAAACCATGCAGAATGGATGAATGGATTGTTGGCAGAGGGAAAAAGTCCCCAAACAGGCAAGTCACCAAACCAAAGTAAAGGAGAAGCTCGAGCGGCTGTACACTATCAGAACCCATCCCACGCAACAGTCCTTTTGAGTCACTGAGGCATCCGCATTAAGCCCCAAGTGCCTCAACACAACCCGCTAAATCCTGAAACCCTGAAAACCGGGAGGCTCCAAACCCCCCAAGCCGTTTTGCTTTAGCTTAAACATTCCTAGTTAAACCCTAAATCCCGAACACTAATCCACTAAACTTCCTGATGCCTAAACCCAAAACCCCGAACCCTGAACCCTAAACCATGACCCCCAAACCCTGCACACGAAACCTGAAACACTACTAAAGGGGGCTAAATAATTACCAATACCATTTTGGGGGTTCTTTATTATACTTATAGTATAACCGGCCCCCAAACCCTATTCCAATCATTAAGGCCCCTTTGTTCAACCCGTGATCCCGAAAGACCTGAGGAAGACAACAATACTGCCACCTCCCTTCATCTCCGAATGAAGGCCGACAGTCAAGGGCTTTTTAGGCTTCTAAGGGCTTCGAGTTTTGGGGTCTTAAGGTTCTAGCACTTTAAGATCTTAGACTGTTGGCGTTTTTTGGGTTGGCATTGTCGGGGTTTTTCCGGGTTTCGGGTCTGAGGATTTCTAGGGAGGTGAGGATTTCTAGGGAGGTTTAGGAGTTTAGGGCCCCGGAATCATGCAGAGTTGTCATTCCAGAGGTGTTCCAAGGATTTCGATGGATTTCTGTTGGGGTTCGGGGGCTCCTTACCTAAATTATTATAGACGGATTCTTAGGGTGATTTGTGGTATTCCTGAATTATGGGCTGTTGGAGTGACTGCACAGAGTGTTAGGGTGTGCTTAGAGTATGGCTGTTGCCGAGAATCAAGTCTGAAACTTGGGTGCTATGTATGTGACGTTCCTATTGCCTCCTGTGGCTCCAAGAACCTACTGAAACCCTAAACCGTTCGAGCCAGCAACCTACTATTTTAGGGGGTTTACGGCTTGTCCCAAAAGAAGAAGAGCGTGTTTGAGTCTTTGAGCAGCTCTTGGCAGCCTAAACCCTAAACCCCAAACTCTAGCCGCTACAACCCTAAACCCGAAACCCCAAAGCCCTAAACCCTGAGTTCTTTCTCCCTCGTCTAGCGCAGGATTTCTCCGGCAAGGCATTCGATGCGCAACTCTTCCATGTGCACCTTGGGCGCGTTTGGGATTCCTTGTGATTTGTTTACGGTTTAGGGTTCAGGGTTTAGGGTTTAGGGTTTAAGGGAGATGCCGGATAATTACACTTTAAACCACATCTTGGCAGAATCCTTCAAGAAAAAGGCTGTTCTGGTAGAACAGGTAACCTCTAATATTTTGGTGTATTAGAATCCCTATATAACACCAAAAAAACTACCCAAAAATCACCTTTAGTTCAGGAGACTGGACAAGTAGGCCTTACCCAAACCCCCGGGAGGATCCAAAAAGTAGATCCCTTAATCGGGGTTCCTATAAAGTTCCCTTAGTAATATAGGCCCCCCCCCGAACTCGAAACCCTAAACCCTAAAGCCCTGAACTCTTAAACCCTAAACCCTAAAGCCCTCAACTCTCAACCCTAAACCCTCCAGCCCTGAACTCCCAACCCTAAACCCTAAAGCCCAAAACTCTTAAACCCTAAACCTTGCAAGTCTTGGGTTGAGTGCAGGGTTGTGTGCGCAAGAAATGTAGAGTTCAGGGGCTGAGGGTTGGGACCGAGGAGTTGAGGGCCTTGTATGAAGTAGGGTTAAAATTGCCGTTTTGGTGAGTGTAGATCGGGCTCCTTTTGAATATTGGTGAGTGTATATATTGGGTTCTATTATGGGGATACTAGTAATATAAGCCATACTCTATATAGAACCCTTTAAGAAAGCCTTTAAAGGAGCCCAACAGTCCCTACTCTAATCATTAAGGCCCTGATATAGTAGCCGCAACCCCGAGCCCTAGCTGCCCGACAATTCCTAAACTTCTCCTCGTCACCCCGAACCCTGAACTAGGTAGGGCTTTGGGACAGTTTACATTTTCCCTTATTGGGCCTAAGAGGATCTTATTTACTAATATTTTTCGAAAGGTTTAGACGCCCCACCTAGTAAATCCTGAACCCTAAAGTCGCGACCCTTGGCCCGATTTATTTTGTCCATGATCCTAAACCCTAAAGGGAACTCCAGAAAGTTGGAATATGGATTAATGGTAGGATCCCCTATAATTTACCTTAAAGGTGTTACGATAATGATATTCCAACTTTCTGGCTTCTACTGTAAAGACCCTAGACCCTAAACCCTTAACCCTAAACCCTAAACCCTAAACCCTAAACCTTGCTTCTACTGTAGACCCTGAAGCCTCCCCTCTAGACACTAAATGCGATAAGCCCACGCCTGAACCCTAGAGTTGGACCGTAAACCCCAAAATCCTGCAGCCTACTCTCTAGACCAGACCCTAAAGCCTAAGCCCTAAACCCCAGATCCTGAAGCCTACACTATACACTAGACCCGGGCCCTAAACCCCAAACCCTTAACCCTAAACCTCGATGCGCTGTCAGGAATGTACCGAGCCTCCTCACTCAGCATCCCCAACATCTGGCGTCCGGGCTGAGTTAAAGGCTTGACGTCGATCTGGTAAACTTTAACCGTTTTAGTTTACTTCAATCTGTGTAGGATCCAATCGTTCTATCAGGATTTTTGGGGGCAGGTAAGAAGGGCGTCCCGCAGACTCCAACAGCCCTCAACTCAGGAATGCACGCCTGGGGTATTCAGTTGAGCCCCTTATGTTACTGGGTCTTCAGGTAGGAGATATTCCTGAGTTCAGAAATAAACCTTGCCTAATTGTATTAAGCACCTTTATGTTTGGATACTCTGGCTTCATGTGAAGGCTTGGACGGGTTTCACGACCCTAGTTTAGGCTATAGATTTCAGGGTTTAGGATCAAGCCCTCGAATCCAGAAGAACCCTAAACCCCCAACCCTAAACCCCAATAGAAGAACCCTAAACCCCCAACCCTAAACCCCAATAGAAGAACCCTAAACCCCCAACCCTAAACCCCAATAGAAGAACCCTACACCCCGAAAGCCTGAGGCCCTAAGCTCTCAACCCCCACATGTGCCTCAGGATTCCCTCTTGATGTCCGGAGTGCTGCACCCCTCGAGCTTTTACAGTAGAAGCCCAAAAGTTGGAAACCCCAGAGCCTCCATCCTTAAGAGTAATGTATAGGGAATCCCAGCACAATTTGGCCTTAATCCAGTTTCCAACTGTATGGGGTTTACTGTATAGTCTGTGCAACCCAAACGGGAGGTATGGGTTGAGGGGTAGGGGTTCGGGTTTGTGTTTCAGCGTTTCTGTAGGTCCCGTTAAACCGAAAAGCTCCATACCTCTCAAGCACAGCCACCTCGAACCCTAAACCCCAAGCCTCTCAAGAGCGGCAAAGGTTGGCATTATCGCAACCTCGCGACACAACGATGCGAGCCTTCGCCCGCACTTGAATGGACCTCCTAAATCCTGAAAAACCCTTAAACCCTGGATTCTGATCCATGAATCCTGAGGGTGCCCAACGTTTTGGGCCGTGGCCAGCCCCATCAGTAGTACGATTTTGCACTGCTCAGGGTTTAGGGTTTGAGGGTCTAGGGTTTCGTGTGTTTGATGATGAATTAACAGGAGCAAGGGTACCCGTAATAACCCTTATTGGATGAAGAGGCTCCTTCACTGAGGACCGCACCTCAAATCATATTAGGGCTCCTAGTATAGGTTAACGGACATTCCTTGATAAAGGGCCCAAAGCCGTAAACCTTAAACCCTAAACCTTGATCACTGCACTCTAAAACCCTAAACCTTGACCCCTGAACCTTAACTCTGTGTCCCAGGCCTTCCAACATCCCCTCATCAAGGAATATTCCTTGAATTATCATAAGACCCCTCATATAATTACTAAATCTCAGGTATACCTGGGCCCTGAAGAGCCTCCCTTTGCTGTGCTCCTTACTATAATTTCCTTGTAAACAGAATTGAAAGAGTAGGTTGTTGAGGGTCCAGGCATTCCGTCATTCCTAAACCCTAAACCCTGAGCCCTAAAGCCTAAACCGCTAACCCCTCACCCTGAGGTAAGGGATATTGGGAGGTCTGTGTCTTGCCAGGATACCCAGCATCCCAGAAGGCGGTGTTCTGAGCGGCGTCGCTCGGATGAGACTGGGTTTTTTTTAAGGTCTGTGGCTGTGATTTTCAAGGGTTGTAGCTACTTTGGGGCCAAAGTGTATACTATTTGAGTACATGGACCCTTATACCATGGACCCTAAACCCCAAGCCCTCTACCCAGACTTGGAGGATCATGGGACTTAGTAAGTAGGGTTATAAGTACCTGCGTTGGGGTTATAGGTAGTTATAAGTATAGTTACCTTACTTATAACCCTAGTTACTAAGTCCCATGATCCTCTAAGTATAGATCCCTTAAAGAACCCTTCTAGGAGCCCCTGTGGGCACAGGGACCCTTTGGGTAAGGCTGTTGCAGAATTCAGGCTTTGGGGTTTGTGTGTTTTTTTATTTTTTCTGGGGGAGGCTTGCAGGGTTGGAGGTTCCTATGTAGAATTTTTGAGGTGGCTTTTGGGTAGCTTTGGATTTGAGTGTGATTATAGGATGCCATGAGGTTGTCTAGGGTTTACAAGGTTTTTGTGGAGCTGCTTATGCCGTGTTGGTTGGGGTGTAAAGTTTAGGGTTTGAAGGGATTCAACTGACGCAGTTTTGTTCATCAGCTTTTCGAGCTGTGCGCAGATCCAAGCCTCGTAGGAAAAGCGGAGCCCGTAATGGAGAACCCCCACACAACAGGATGTTAGAACGTCAAAGACCAGGACCCTCATGATTAGATCCTGAATTGATGATGCAAAGAGCAGGCTTCTGATTAAGAAGGAACCCCAGTCATGAACGTATTCAACACTTCCTTAGCTGCCTCAGTATACGAGGCACACCCACCGATTTTTCGACCCTAAACCCTAAACTTTACACCCAGACCCTCAACCTCAAACCCCAAACCTTAAGCTCCAAATCGCACGATCGTATAAAGCATTTCTGGATAGTTCGAAACTCCCCGTGCAAACCGTGGAGTCCTCACAAAGATCCAAGGGGAACAGGAGGGACCCTTAATATGGGGACCCTTAATATAGCTACTATACACCCGTTATATAGCCCATTATAGGGTAGGGGTCCCCATTAAGGGTCCCTCCTTTTCCCCTTTGAGTGGAGCCCTCACAAAGACGATGAATCCGGCCTAAGGTGCCAGAGTCCGCCTCGGACAGCCGAAGCCAGTCTGCATGCTCTGAGGTGAGCCCTTGCCCCAGACAGAGTTCCTGGTAAGGAGTTTAGATTAAATAAGTTACCGTATTCCTGTTAAGGAGTTTAGATTAATTAAGTTACCGTATTCCTGTGAAGGATTCCTGTTAAGGAGTTTAGATTTAAGTTAAGTTACCGTATTCCTGTTCAGGAGTTTAGATTCAAGTTACCATTAATGAAGTTACCGTAGTACTGCTCTATGATCTATAGTATATATCATGGTTTCCCTGCCTTGCCCCAGACAGATTTCCTGTTGAGAAACTTAAATTAAGTTGCCATATTCGGGATCGATGACCTATAGCACATAGTGTAATTGATTTCTTGTGGCAACGTAGGTTGAAGATTTGTTAACAAGAGTGCAGCAAACCGGTACTATTGGCTGGCACGGCAGTCATCTCAGTTCTTGCCCACAACTACATCTTGCATTTCAGGCTTATGCTTTTCAATGCTTTACTTTTCAAAGGGTAACATTTGAGGGCAAGAAGCTTGCTTAGGGTTGGTAATCAGTTTAAGATCCTCGACGCCAAGGCTAAACCCTAAACCTGGAACGATTTTCCCGCCTTTAAGAGGGCCTCAGATGCCTGGCCGTAGGGGTTGCGGATTTGGGCTACGGCTTATGCTATTTGTGCTTGGTTTGACGAGTCTCCTTTTGGAGTTGAACTTGTTTCAAGATGGCTCAATAGTTTAGTGCTGCAGGCAGCTATTGGCTTGCTCGCCAGATGCCACACCGGCTAACAGTAGCGCTAAGGGTCCTGGACAACATCCGGGATGCAGCGATCACGTCCTGTGCCCCTAAACCCTAAACCCTAAACCCTAAACTGCTTGCTTCAGCCGAACTGGGAGTTCAAGAAGGGGCCGCAGTCGAAGGGGAGGGGTCGCAGTCGGAGCCAAGACTTGGATCGCCCATAAAGCAAAGGACCCAGGGCTGCGAGGGCGACTGGTGGTCGATGTCGGAGTCGCAGTGGTTTGAGCCAGGCACACCGACACCCATGAATTCTCACGAAAACTAATAAAGGCAGGTCTACATGACTTAGCTATATACTCTCCTAAACCCGGGTACCCGATTATTGGGGTCCTGTGGAGCCCTGGGGTGATAGTCTTAGCAGGACATCGGAGTTGCAGAGACAGCAATTTTTGAGACTTCATCCAACTTCCCCCAGACCTTAAACCGTATCTTCAGCTATGTAGACTTCGCTAAACACAGGGGTGAATGCCCTGTTTTGTTGTTTAAGTGCCAGCCGGCTGTGGGCAGGGAGTCTGCGAATCGAAAGTCCCTCACTGCACCCTGAAAAAACCTTATCTTAACACCAAAAAACCGGCTTTTTAAGGACATCTGTATAAGGCATCTTAGACTGATATTGGGGCCTGTAAGCCTCAAATCTATGAAAGCCTACAGTATCCCATCTGGAGCCTTAACAACCCTTCTGGAATTCTAAGCCCTCAACCCTGATGGAGCCCTCAAGAAATTCTACAGAGCCCTGCAGGAACCCCAAGGCCTAAATCCTAACCCTCAACCTCTGTAGACCTTAAGCAACCCTGATCCCCCACATCCTTCTTAGTCCCAAACCCTAAAGCCTTGCTGTGACTCCAAAACCCTGATCCCGAAACCGAAACCCTAATGCTAAACTCAACCTTACCTAGAATAACCAATGTACCTAAACAAATAGATGTGACCCCACAAAATTCCTGTACATGTAGCATATTTTCAGGCGTTTTGGTTACTAAGGGTAAACCTTGAACTAGAGTATATAGGGCCCTACATGATTGAAGGCATATTTCTTAGCCCCTAAACCCTAGACCCCAAACCCTAAACTCTAAACTCTAATCCCTAAACCCTAAACTCTACACCCTTAACCCCAAACCCTGAGCCCTAATCTCTACTTAAAGGGTCATGGGACTTAGAAGTACCTTAATTGGGGTTATACGTATAGTCACCTTACTTATGACGCTAGTTACTAAGTCCCATGATCCTCTAAGTAGACCCTAAACCCTAAGCTCTACACTTTAAACCCCAAACTCTGAACCCGAAACTCTAGACCTTAAACATAAAACCCTAAAGCCCCTAAACCATGCAGATCCCTTAAAGGAGCCAGTACCCTTAAAGGACCCCCTACACCCTAAGCTCTAAACCCTAAACCCTAAGCTCCACATCCTAAACCCCAAACTCTGAACCCTAAACTCTACTTAAAGGATCATGGGGCTTAGCAAGTAAGGTTACAAGTATCCTAATTGGGGTTACAAGTATAATTACCTTACTTAGGACCCTAGTTACCAAGTCCGATGATCCTCTAAGTAGACCCTAAACCCTAAGCTCTACACCCTAAACCCCAAACTCTGAACCCTAAACTCTAGACCCTAAACATAAAACCCTACAACCCCTAAACCCTGCAGATCCCTTAAAGGAACCCCTAGAGTACCCTTAAAGGACCCCCAAACCCTAAGCTCTCCGACTGAGGCTTGGGCTCACGTCTGCGCAGCGCTTGGGTGGCCGATGCCGCTTCGTTGGAGTGGCAGGCGCGGCTTAGGGTCTAGAGTTTAGGGTTTAAGGATTAGAGTGTAGGGTTTAGGGTTTAGGGTTTAGAGTTTAGGGTTTAGAGTGTAGGGTTTAGGGACTGAGGAATATGGAAGCCCAGATACTTAGTTCCTTTTTGGTCTTACCTCCTGGGATCCTACTATAAAAACTGGTTAAGCCCAAAATAGGAACTACAATAGAAGCCTACATAAGTATCCATATTATTCCTAGGGTTCCTTGTTTTAGTTTTACTTCAAAGGAGCTCGAAATCTTGTTTTCATTGTTGAGGTTTCTACATTAGGTAGTTTCAATGGTGCCAGTTTGGGGCACCCTTTAAAAGAACCCGTGGGGTTCAGGCCAGGCTTTGTGCGAGTATGGTGGGTCTGTGCAAGGGGTGTGTGAGTGTTGGAGTGGTGAAAAGCCAGTCGACCCTGGCCAGGGACTCTGTTTTCGCCTGGATGATCGGGAGGAAGTCAAAAGCTGGGTTCTTGTTAAGAAATTTAGTTTAAGTTGCCATAATAAAGAAGCCATATCATTTACTATAGATTCCTCTTATGGTAACTGAAACAGAACTCCTTTGCAAGAACCCAGGAAGGAGTTCAAACAGCCCTCAACTCGATCTTCGTGCACCTTGGGTCTCGGGTTTAGGGTTTACTTAGAGGATCACTTATATCTACTTATAACCCCAATTAAGTAATTATAACCTTACTTACCATGTCCCATGATCCTCCAAGTAGGCTTCAGCGGAGATCGTGAAGTCATAGTTAGGCTTTTAGGTTGAGGGGATATGACCTTGAGGTGCACATGGGTGGTTATCAAAATTATGGCCCCTTTTTGGGTACCCTAAATACAAGGTGCCGTACTATAATAGGGACCCAAAAAGGGACCCTAATTTTGACTTCCTCCCACATGAAGCTTGAAACAGTACCCGGTTATAGTCTCTGTATAGCCTTCGCCGTATTATATCTTGTGCTATTTCCATTTTCCGCATGGCTGATAGATGGTTGGTTTGGTGGAACCGGTCTTGGGATTCAGGGGATAAGGGTTTAGGGTATCAGATTCCGGATACCGTGTTTATGGTTTAATCCCAAAAGGGTTCATCCGTGCTGGGGCATTGCTTAAAGTTGAGGCACTTGCCGGCTGCCCTAAACTCGAACCCCAAAGTCTGAACTGTCGACGCCCTAAACTCTGAACCCTAAGCCCTAAGTGAGAAATCCTAAGCCTTAAACGCTTCCCAGGTCTTGACAGCCAAGTTTCAAGATTGGTTGGATTCTGCGACTTGGCTGAAACGGCTTATTATTGGGCCTTAACCCAGACTTCCAGGGGGATCCGAGAAGTAGATCCTTCAAGGTGGTTGTTATTGTAGTGAACACCAGAAAGTTGGAGCATGGGTTTAGGATGATTAGTGCGGAGATGCCCTCTACTTTACCTTATTGGCATGAAATAATGATGTTCCAACTTTCTGGCTTCTACTGTAAGAGCCCTGCTGTTGTTTCGGGCCCAAAGTGAGGGGTTCTCCTCCGGAACAGTCCCATGCCTGCTGTCAAAAATTTGCCGGTGGGTATGTGTGGAAGCAATCCCCCCAGCAATGCGTGGATGTATCATAGTGCCTTATAGCTATAATTGTTGATGAGGTCACAGCACTGAGGCTTTATGTATGTCCGACGATTTATGTGCGCTTTCCCTAGGATGCCCAGTAGTACCCTTATTCCCTTTTTGTAGTCCTAGGTTCCTTATAAAGTTACCCAATACCAAAAAGGGAGCCCTTTTTATTCCTAGGTTACTGGGTCTCCTAGTTCCTGTTGGGGCAGGCTAAGATCTGGAGACTTTCAAGCCTAAGCTCCTCACGCGTCAAGCCCACACCGCGAAATCCCTACAGCTCTTGGGATTTAGGGTCTAAGGGTTCGGGACTTAGCTTTCTACAAAAGTTGTCCAGTTCTGTGTCTTGGCGCTTGTGGGGTCAGCTATGCACCGGCTGTAAGCATAACTTTCAGAGTTTTGAAGCAACAGGGTGGTGTTCCGCGCTGCAGCTTACTGATGCATGCGGCTGATGGCTGGAATGTGATCGCCATTAGCGCCGGCAGACGCTTTTACATCGCCATACACAGCGATGGCGACCGTGAGCTGGGGTGCTCTGTAAAGCCGGCATCGAAGTGAGGGGTGACAAACAAGGAACCTTCCAGCGTGTTCGTCGTTGCTCGCCATTGGTCTTTGTTCAGTGCCCATCCAACTGCATTGTGTTGTCCAAAAACGCCTCCTGGTGAGGACGATGGCGAGTACAGTCACCAAGCATATGCTTTCAGAAACACAGCAGGCACAACTTGAATGATTGGTTCCGGCACGACTCCTGACGCAAGTGGAAAGCTTGTGCATTCCAGAATATGACCTGTTGACTGTTGTGCGTGGAACAGGGCACATCATCGCATTTCTCGCAGGAGCACAGCGCGTGGTGCTGGCACGAGAACAGCCCTGGTGGGGTGGGTGCACACGAAAGCCGTGCAAGTTTGGCACTTCTGCGAAAGAAACCAAAGCGACACAAGCTTGTGGTACAAACACCTGAACTCCCGCTAGCTGGTTTGAAGTTCGCATAAGGCTGAGTAGGACACGGAGGCATTCGCATAGCAATAGTCATAGTAGCTTTCCTTGCGCTACTGCCCACTGTACGTAATCATTCCTTCATTTGGACAAGCCATAACCCCCGTGATTTACCGAACCCACCTCCCCAAGCCCCACAATCCCAAGCTGCGATCCCGTAAAAAATAGCCCTTACTGAGGCAGTGCCATTTTCCTCATAAGCCCCGAAGACTGATATCCTAAACTTCTACGTAGTGTTGTTTTTTCGCCGGGTATTTGTAGGGTCTTGGGGTTTAGGGCGCAAATGTCTTTATTGAGGCCTTGGTGCTTTGGGTTCGGTGTGGCAGGCAAAGCTTTGGGTTTTTTAAGTTTACGGGTGGTTGTCAAAATTAGGGTCCCCTTTTGAGTCCCTATTATAATACGGCACCTATAATTTAAGATACCCAAAAAGGGACCCTAATTTTGACAACTACCCCTACGGATTCGGGCTCGAAGTCCGGGGTTCTGGGGGAGCAAAGCAAACTGGAAGCCCTAAACCCCTTCAGGGGGTCTACACATGTCCCTTGTTATAAAACCTTAGCAGCTGAGTGGATACACTTTACACTTTTGGGATAATATTACATACTCCAAAACAGAAAGTGTACACTTTTTGGGGGCTTATGAATTCAGCAACTAGGAAACTGATCCCTTTTTAGGATCCCGTTTAAGGGGACCGTTTCCCCTACACGGTAAACAGCCCTAATAAACCCTAAGCCCTGCTCTCCTAACCTAGGTTCCTGAGTAGTTTCCCTTTTGCCCTTTTAGTTTGGGGTCTCCTTTTTAAAAACCCAAAACCCCAGACCCTCGACCCCTAAACCCTTAAATCGCTGAATATTAGGAAAATGGGTACCCTCTGTTAGGAACCTAGTAAGTGTTCAGGCCCCTTAAAGCTGCAAAGCCCTGCTCCTAAGTCCCTAAACCCTTAAAACCCTAAACCCTAAGTCCTTACACCCTAAACCCAAAAGCCCCAAACGCCCTTTACACCCTTAAACCCTACATCTTAATAAACCCTAAGCCCTACCTAGACCCCCCAAAGTAGGTAGAATATTGGCCCAAAACCTAGAAAAGGCTATTATTCTACATACTTTTGGGTCCAGGTAAGCCCCGCACGCCTTAGGTTGACCACGTCGAGTTGACGCTCGACCTCTCCACTGGCTCCGAAGGAGCCGGGGGTTTAGGGGTTACTTAGGGTTTAGGAGTTTAGGAGTTTAGGGTTTGTCAGGGTTTAGGGTTACTTCGGGTTTGGGTGTGTAAGAGTTTAGGGCTTATGTTTTTTTTTCGGGTTTAGGGTTTAAGAGTTTAGGGTTTAAGAGTTTAGGTTTTAAGGGTTTAGGGGTTTAAGGGTTTAAAGGGTTTAGGGCTTAGGGTTTAGGGCTTAGGGTTTTTTTCGGGTTTAGGGTTTAGGGCTTAGGGTTTATTAGGGCTAAGGGTTTTCCAGGTCTTAGGGTTTGTTGGGGGTTATTTCGGGTTAAGGGTTTAAGGCTTAAGGTTTAGGGTTTATCAGTATTTAGGGTTTAGGGTTTATAAGGGTTTAGGGTTTACGATTTATTAGGATTTAGGGTTTGTTGGAGTTTAGGCTTGAGGGTTCAGGGTTTTGGATAGTGCTCCGGGGTCTTGATATGCTTCCCAGCCAGTCAACGTAGCAGAGTTCTGCGTCCCAAACTCCATTCTCCGAGTCGAGTCCTTCTTGGCACAATTTAGGGGTCTGTACAATCAGGATCCTATCCTTCCAGGTTCTTCATCATTCAGGTTTTTTACAGGCTTTAGAAGGTCTGATAGCATTCTTGAAAAGGGTTGCGCAGTTGTTGGTAGAGTTAATACGCTTGTCAAGGGTTTGGCAGGTGATTTAGCCTTCTTGAGTGAATCTTGTCAGTAACTACTGTAAGGACGTTGTGTTTTTGTTGGTGTGCTTGCACCCTTCTACATGGTTCCTATCGGGATGTTATGGGTTGTAACCCTAAACCCTAAACCCCTAAACCCCTAAACCCTAAACCCTAAACCCTAAACCCTAAACCCCTAAACCCTAAACCCTAAACCCTAAACCCTAAACCCTATAGAGGTCTTAAGGGTTTTCGGATTGTTTTGGGTGTTTCAGTTCTGGGTTGGGCGTCTTCAAGTTGGATGTTTTCGGGTACTCCGTTTTGGATTGGGGACAAGAGTTGAGATCTGGAGTTTCGGGTTGAGGACAACATCCGTGCCGACAGAGTGTGCAGTTGCATGCTTCGTTTGCCGTACAAGGTCTCGGTGTCCCCAGGACGAGAAGTATGCCCTAAACCCTAAACCCCTAAACCCTAAACCCTAAACCCTTGATCATTGATGGGTCTTTCGCTTTTTAGATTTAGGGTTTTGGGCATTGACTTCCGACTTTGGGGGACCCCGTGGAGCAGCTGACAACCTCTCAAACACCGGCACATAAAGCTTCTCAAACCAAATACTAGGTAGGCCTTTGGGACATTTTATATTCTCCCTTATTGGGCTTAGTAGGACCCTATTTACGAATATTTTTCAGAGGCTTTAAGGGGCCAACCTAGAATAGTACCGACATATATGTAACGATACAGGCTCAGACACTTCTCGACAAGAGCCGATAGTTTCAGAATCCAGGATACGCGGTGCGGAGGGCGACCGTCCACTTGAAGGACTGATTTGCCTTTGGGTTTAGAGTTAAGTTCTACAGATCGAGGATTTGAGGGCATGGGGGAGTTCAATCCCAGCTTGGGGTTCAAGTCAGGCTTTGGATCAGGGTTTAAGGCTCAGGGTTTGGGTCTGACAGCGGGTTTTATACATCTCTGACTATCGCCCAAATCCAAGATGGGCCATCACGATGACTGATTCAACCAATGGTGATGGTTCAGGGTGAGCCCTGTGCATCAGCCTCAGCATCAGCACCAGCACCAGCGCCAGCATAAGCATCAGCATGAGCACCACCACAATCATCATCATCATCATCATCATCATCATCATCTTCAGCATCATGATCATACGTATCATCATCGTGAGCATCATCATTGTCCTGGTCGTCATCATCATCATCATCGTCGTCGCCATCATTGTCTTTATCATCATCACCATCGTATTCATCAGTTTACGTCCAGGTTGAAGAAGGCGATGATGATCATGAAGGGCAGTCGAACCACGAGCATCACCATCATCACCACTTATACTGCCATCCGCGTATCGCCATAGCCCTTATGGTCACCTCCATCTCCGTCGCTATGTCCGGCACCATACCGCCATCTTATCGCTTCACCATCTCCGCAGCAACATGATGATGATGATGGTGATTCTGATGACCATTATCATCATCAGCAGCAGCATCACCGTCATCCTCAGACCCTATAATATCCTAAACCCTCAGACCTTATGATACCCGTTGCTTTGTACTCCCTACGTCATAGTCACCTTTACAGTGCCTCTTGAAACCCATCGTCATGACATGCCAAGCTCTGCAGGAAGTAGCTCCTGGCGAAGATCCCGGCACTACTCTCTACAGCATCATCAAGCCAAAGTGCGCTCTTCTGCGGATTCTGGGTTTAAGCAGACGGGCTTATATACTCACTCACTCACTCATTTATCCTAAACCCCTATAACTATAACCCTTCAACCTTGAACCCTGAACCCTCAACCCTAAACCTCTAACCCCTACATCCCTAAACCCTAAGGCCCTAAACCCCAAAAGCTAAACCCTAAACCCTGAACCATCCTGAACGGTTTAGAGTCAGGGTTTAAGTGCTAGTCTGGGAAAGCCTTGCGGTGCAACCTCGAAACGGAAGTCACCTGTTTGTGTTTTAGGTTGGGGGGCGGATGGCGGAAGACTTTCCAAGTGTTGGTGATTGGGAGCAGGATCCAAAAGCGGTAACAAGAAGCAAGACACACAATGACTACCCACGTCATTGCGGCCACAAGTTCGTTATTTTGCATTTTCAGGATTCCCTTCAGTCTGTTTATTTTAAAAGGTTTTACGAGGGTTCAGGGTTCAAGGTTTGAATTTGGGTAAAGTCTAAGTATTGCAATAAACTGAAATCTATACCCTAACTTTTCAAGCACTGTACCCTAAACCCTAAGCTGCTGCAAATGTGAGTAAAGGGTATGTGGCGGATTCGGCGTTGAAAGCTTTCCGCTTCGCCCATTGAGGCTTCTCGTGCTTTAGCGGCTTCGCGTTCATGGGGTTTTGGTGTCTTTGGGTTGAGGGACTTGGTGTCTGGGGTCTTGGCTTAGGGACATCTGCAATTTAGGGTTTGGGTTTTGGGATTGGGGCTTTGGGGTTTGGGGTTTAGGGTTCAAGGTGAAGCTTAGGCTTTACGGTGAAGCTTAGGGTTACTGCAAACGAGTGCAACAGCTCTGAGATCCATCCATCCAGGCGGGCATACACAAGTTTGTACAAAAGGCTTATATCAGGGACCCTGAGCTTTGTTGTCAGGTACCAGATCGTTGTTGAGGACTGGATCTCCGAGCACATGCCCTTTGGCTCGCAAGCTTCACGCCCCAACCACCCTAGTCAAGCCGTTAAGCCTTACAATCTTACTCCTGGAATCCTACAGCTCGAAAACATAAGCTTATAGAGCCGTTACGTAAAATCTAAAGCCCCCCAAACCCTACTGTTTTTTTTCGAGGTCTCTCCATCAAAGCTTTCCGTAACCTTGCTGCTTCACTCTTGCCTGCCACATCGAAACTCTGATTTTGGTGAGCCTGCTGCTTCGATTCTTTTATGTTTGTGAGCCTGCTGCTTCAAATGCTCGGTGTTTGTGAGGTAGAAACCCTACACGGCCAGAAACCCTAACCCCTAAACCCTAAACCCTAAACCCTAAACCCCTAAACCAAGCTTTGAATGTGAAAAGCTCTTTTTTTGCTCCACTGCGAGAGCGCGGCGCAGAGACAGTGAGGCCCCAGAGGCACCCACTGAAGTACCAAAGAGGAACACGGTGGTCATATGGGGTTTCCGAAAATTAGGGGTTCCTTATTTTGGGGTCCTTATAATAGGGATCCTACTATTTAGGGTACTATGTTAGGGTCCCCTAATTTTCGGAAACTCCCATTGAGGGCAGTCGAGTCCCGAAACAAGAAGCAAAGACTCTAAGTCACTGGCGACATAATGTATGTAGATTCTAGGGTCATTGCCGTTCAGTATATACAGAAGCCTAGACAGTTACCAGATGTTACCAGCATTATACCTCGGGGTCCTTTTACGTATAGCTAAGATATTTTCTGCACCGGGCCTGGTCAACTGACAATATCATTGCTAAGGTTTCCTGAGGCCGTACAATCATGGTTTAATGTCCCACACAGCCCTTTCCATGTTTCTGGGCCTGAAATTACCTTGAACACCTGCCCGGCATATCAAACAATCAGTGTACCTGCCCCATACAGGAAGGTGTGCCCAAAACCCTAAACCCTAGATTATGCATGGTGCCCTTTCGGATTCGGGTCCTTTTTCAGTAACTTCTGCTATCTGAAATCGCCCTGGCACGAATCCAAGCTTCTGCGATCGTTGCGGACATCACCACCGCCCAAATCATGGTCATGCCGATCACCATACCCATCATCGTCATCGTCATCGACGCCCTTGTTGCAATCGCCATCGCCATTGGTTATTGTTATTGTCATCACCACCTTAATGCCCTGTACACACCTTAACCTGGGCCTACGTCGTGAAGCCTGGTAGAAAGCCCCCGATTCCGAAGACAGTCAGGAACTCGTGGTATCATGGCATCCCGTGTGATGAACATTGTTTGGGCATCAAGATCAACCTTCCGATGTTGGGCAGCAACTTGGCCATCCACAGATAGAAGGGGAACTGGTTCGCAGAGAAGAGACCCTACGTCAAAAGATGCTACCTAGAGTAGGAGATTCCTTCGAAACGCCTTAGACCAAGTTGTAGAGTAGGTCACTTTTAACCCCACGTCAAGGCTTTCGATGCCAGTGTGCTGTTGCTTCATGCAGGCAGCCACTAAATCCCCTAGCTGCAATCGCTCAAAGACCCTCCATCCTGCAGCCACATGAAACCCAAGCCTAAAGCCACGAATCTGCGGACAAGGCCCTGCACCCGATCTTGCTGTGGTGGGCGATGGATACGTTGCGGATGTAGGTAGCGCCTCGAAGATAGATGGAGACCCCGGCTTCCAACAATTCCGAAATTCAGGTGTGCTTGTGGGTGACATGCTTCTTGCCTGCAATTTGATTTCGATTTGCTGATTTAGGGGTTCAGTGGCGGCTCAAGGATGACGCTTGCCCTTACCCCTCATTGTGAAACTTCTTGGATAAGGAATTGGGGTTGGCCCTAAACCCGAAAATACTATTGAACTTTCATTAAGTTGCTGGTTGAGGGTTTGGCGGAACATTATTCAACCCCGAAACCCTACACCCACAACCCTAAACCCTAAGCCCTCGTTTCGTTGCTGGTTGAGGGTTTGGCGTCTTCGGGCTGCTCGTGCGGCTCGAAGTCGACTATGGCGGGGCCTGAAATCGGAGTACATTATAGTTGGCTTTAGGGTTCAGGGGCTAGAGTTTAGGGTTTAGAGTTTAGGGGTTTAGAGTTTAGGGTTTAGGGCTCAGGGGCTTGAGTTTAGGGTTTGTTTGAAACAAACTGTATCTGTGTATAACATCACGTAAACCACAACCCCACTCACTTTGGCCTTTCATTGTTGTGGAGTAAGGAGGAGTCGCGGCTCGAGCTGAAGTAGCGAGGCGTCTCCTCATGGAGTGGCCTGCAGCTTTTCAGTTTTCCCGACCCCAGCGTTGCCATCATGCGACTGCAGTGGGCCCTGGGTGGTCTCTGCTGGACCCTTTTGCGTCCTGGGAGCGGCGCTGCTCCCCAACCTTGGCCTACGCTGCCGTTGAATCGGCCGTCGGCCTGGGTCTTGACATATCTGGGTTGAGCCTGGTTATATGACTGCCACGAGGCGCTTTACACCACTTATGCCTTTTTTGTGGTTTTGGGCCTCTGGCTTGTGGTGTGCGGAGGTCACGGGCAAGCGGCTTTTGAGGGGCAGAAGCCCGCCCTGGCACCGCAGCCAACGGAAGCAGCGATCCTTGGCGAGGCATCGTCTACGTCGGGGACTTGTGCGTGCTCGCGACGTTCATCTTTTGAATACCCACCTCGTGAGTATGGCACCCAAGCCTTCAACCAAGGCAGCCAAAGGCGGTCAAAAGGGCTCCCGACCTCCAAGCTGGAGTTCGGGTACCCACCAGCACTGGCGCAGGCCTTACAAGCCATCGGCGATCGGGCCACCAGCGATCTCTGAGGTTATAAAGGGTTTAGGGATTACGGTTTAGGTTTAGGGATAACGGTTTAAGTTTAGGGTTTACAGTTTAAGTTTAGGGATTACGGCCTAAGTTTAGGTCCTTAGCTTTGAGCTGAGGGTTTCGTGGCCTTGGATTGGGCTTACGGATGTGGTGCTTCCTATAAGTTTAGGGTTCAGGGACTACGGTTCAATTTGAGGGAGTAGACTTTCGGGATTAGGGTTTAGGGATTGGGGTTTAGGGATTAGGGTTTAAGTTGAAGGATTACGGTTTAAGTTGTTGGATTAGGGTTTCGGGATTAGGGTTTAAGGATTGGGGTTTATGGATTGGGGTATAGGGACTAGGGTTTTGGGTTCAGGGATTAGGGCTTAGGGTGGCTTCCGCGTCCAAGCCTCCATCCCAAAATCCTGAACCCCAGCACGTGCAACTTCCAAACTTTATCGAAATAACATGCAGAGTTATCAGGGCCGTCACCAGCTCTGGGTAGAGCCTAAACCCTAGACCCTTATAGTACCACTATAGTTCCCTGTAAGGGTTCCTTTAATGACTAAGGGCCGTCTCCAGCATCAAGGAGCGCGAACACGAGGACAGCCGATGTGCATGATGTGTGCCATGGTATTTGGTGGAGCTTCGGGCTTCCATCGAAGTTCAAAGGGGAAAAGGAGGGACCCTTAATGGGGACCCTTTAAAGGGATCTATAGGGATTCTATAAGGGTATAGGGTTTAGGGGTTTGGGGGGGTTTTGGGGGTTTAAGGGGAAAAGGAGGGACCCTTAAACCCATACCCTACAATGGCTATATACTGGGTATATAATAGCTATATTAACGGTATATACCTAGGGGTCCAAATTACGGCATATTGGAGTCTTAGGGTTTGTGAAGCAGGGTTTAGGGTTTGAAGATGTTTCTTTGCAGGGGCTCGTGCCCATTCAATGCTTCTTGCTTCTGTCTGGTTCTTACTTAGCAAGGAATGGGGGAGTGGATTATGGGGACTACTATCAGTGATCATATACTTGAGGCTCACGGGACCTAGCAACTAGGGTTATAAATAAGGTAACTATACTTATAACCACTTATAACCCCAATCAAGGTACTTGTAACCTTACTTACTAATTCCGATGATCCTTTAAGCAGGGGGCTACTATAGGGATCCATTCCCCAATTCCCTACGAAGCACCGGGGAGGGTTTGGTTGCTTGGGGTCTGAATTCTTGTTGCTGGTGTTCGATGATGACTTTTTGCGGCCTCAGGGGTTTGGCGGCCCTGAACCCTTAAACCTAAACCCTAAACCCTATATGGGAGTTTCCGAAAATAGGGGGGCCCTGAGAAAGTACCTTTTCTTGTAGGATTCTTATTATGAGGAGACCAGTATAAGGTACCCGTAATTTTTGGAAACTCCCAAATCCTAAACCTTTCATAGAACCCTTATAGATCCCTTTAAGGAACCCCTAAAGGATCCCTTTAAAGGTACCCCTAATTTTCGCATGTTGGTTCAGAGCTTCGGCCCTACTGACGATGTACATTAAAGCCCTCAGACACTCAGTCAAAACCCCCGAAGCAGGCACCAGACTAAGCGCCAAACCATGCTAAACCCTAAACCCAAAGCCCTGAACCTTGAACCCCAAACCCTAAACCCCAAACCCTAAACCCAAAGCCCGAAACCCTAAACCAACAACCCCTAAACCAACAACCCCTAAATCAAGAACCCTAAACCCTAAACCCTGAAGCCTGAAGCCCCAAGCGCTATAGGGCCTAAACCCCGAATCGAACCCGCGACCCGAAGCTCGGAAGCCCAAAACCTCGATATAGAGCCGATATACGACATCCGATGCTCGGATCTTGTAGGGGTTTCGGGTTGAGGGTTTAGGGTTTAGGGTTTGCCGTAGAGTGGCGCATAAGCGGAAGTATCTCGCGACGAAAAAAACCCGGAACCCATACTTTTCACAAGAGAAGAACCCTCATTCCCCTGAGCCCGAACCTTAGACCTTCAATCCTAAACCCTCAACAACTTCGAGTCTGAGAATCTCAGAAGGGATCAACAACTTCGTCGAACTCATGCTGCTCCTCATGCAAAGCATCGATCCAAAAGGCTGACTTCAGCAAGAGAAATCCCCCGAAGTTCTGGGGACCTGAGCTACATGGCCTTCGTGCTGACACCGGGCGATGTCGCAGACGTGGAGAGCAGCCCCACCTCGGCGGCCACTCTGCTGCCCGAGGACCCAACCGAGCCGCCATTGGTGAACCCATGTCTGACCCGACTACTTGGAGGGTCATGGGACTTAGCAAGTAAGGTTATATGTACCTTAATAGGGGTTATAAGTAGTTGTAGGTATAGTTACCTTACTTATAACCCTAGTTACTAAATCCCATGATCCTTTAAGCAGCCAAGCATTTCTGCTGCATGACGAACAGGTGCAGAGATGCAAGAGCACATGCTGATGTTGGAAGAGCGAAGCTTCACCGTCTTGACGAAGTGATGAGCTTTGGGTCAGGCTGTCTTGCTTTCCTGATCGCCACGTTCGCGAGCCTTGCGACGCCCAGAGTTTAACATAGGAGCCTTAATGTTTAGAATAAGGTTGTGGCGCCCATTATTATCATATAACTATAAAAAGGGAACCCCCAAATAGTATAGGTAATTATTAAGGCCCCTACAATACCCAAAAGGTCCCCAACAGCCTCATTAAGAATGGTTTGTTGGGGCCCAATTTCATCCTGGTGGTATTCTTGGACCCTTTGGTTGATAGTCACCTACCCTTGCAGTCCCGATGTTTGGCTAAGCTGCTGCATGATGTGGCAATTCGTATAGCAGTTCACGGGTTTCATGCAGAATACCAACAATATGGACCCTATAGATCCATATACCCAGACCTGGCTTAACTAATTGGTTCTTAGTAGGGAATGGGGGAATGGATCCCCCCCATTCTCCCATTCCAAACCAGGAAGAGCTCCACCTCGAGATGGCCTGGAAACTTTTGGGGAATGGGGGTTCGGCTTGAGGGGTGTAGGGTTTAGGGTTTAGGGTTTAGGGTTTAGGGAGGGTTGACAGGGTTTAGTGTTCTTTTGCTCAGCCGTCCTTTTTGGAATATAGCCCAAATCGTTAGCGCTTTGCCTTTGGGACCCTTCGGGAAAATTAGTAAGATGCGTTTGGGGAATTGGGTGCGATTGAAGTCTTTATTGCTTGCCCAACGCTCACCAATGATTTTGTCGTTGTGCCGGAAAAATATTTAGCTCAGTGGCTCATCTTCTGCTGCGTTGCCTATCCCCATTCATCCCAGCACTTCCTGAAGATTTTTCCTTGGATTGCACTGGCAGGTAACGCAGGCGTTTTGCGTTTGAGACCTCTCGATACAAGACAATAAGATGGAGTTTGCGTTTGTGCGTGTTAAGTAACCGAGCCCGCGTGGTTTTAATTAAGGCCTAGGGTTATCAGAAGACTCGCGCTTGGAGGGTCATGGGACTTAGCAAGTAAGGTTATAAGTACCTTAGTAGGGTTATAAGTGGTTATAAGTATAGTTACCTAACTTACAGTAACCCTAGTTACTAAATCCCAAGATCCTTTAAGCAGGCCAACCCCAAAGCCTCCTTGCTCGCTAGACCTTGCATCACGAATTGAGGTTTAGGGTTTGTAGGGTTTCTATAGGGTGTATAGGGTTTAGAGGTTTATAGGGCTTATGGAGCTTATACGGTTTAGGTCTTATAGGGTATTTTAGGGTCTACGCCACGGTCTCAATCGGGAAGGCTCCTGCCTAAAGTTCCCGAAGCTTTTTTAGCCCTCTGGCCTCGCATCTCGGAAGGGATCAGAACACTTCCATAGACTAGGATGCCCAGTAGTACCCTTATTCCCTTTTTGTAGTCCTAGGTTCCTTCTAAAGTTACCCAATACCAAAAAGAGAGGCCTTTTTATTCTTAGGTTACTGGGTATTCTAGCTAAACACTGAACCTTAGGCCAACGAGATTCAAAACCCGTGAGCCTGAACCCCCCAACTACCCTCAAATATGCTTTGAATACCTACTCTTTAGGACCATCAAGGGCTCTATTGAAGGGCCCCAAACTTTAAACCCTCAACCCTAAACCCTAAACCCCTAAAGCCTCAGTCCTGAATCCTAAACCCCTAAACCCTCAACCCCAAACCCTCAACAAACCAATTGGAAAAAAGCTCCCAGAGAGCCCAATACCACTTAATTAGGAAATATACATCCAACTGTAAGCGGGGTCATATTATGATCTAAGCTATATTCCTTAATTGAGGGGTATTAGAATCCCCTTGACCCTAAACCCTTTAGATCCCTGAGCGGAACCCTAGGTATAGATCCCTTGAAGGATCGCGGGGTACATTCCTTACTTAAGGGGTATTGGGCTCTCTGGGCTCCCTCCCTAAACCCTAGACCCCTACACCCTAAGCCCTAGAACCCCTAAACCCTAAACCCCTAAACCCTAAAACCCCTAAACCCTAAACCCCTAAACCCTAAACCCTAAACCCCTAAACCCCTAAACCCCTAAACCCTAAACCCCTAAACCCTAAACCCCTTAAGGGGTATTGGGCTCTCTGGGCTCCGGGGGCAGGCCGTGGAGCTTCGAAACTTCCTGAAAGCCACGGGAAGCAACGCCCGTGAAAGCGGACCCTAAGGGTTCTCGGGGGTTTGGGGTTCTATAGGGTTCCTTAAAGGGATCTATAGGGTCCAGGGGTTTAGGGGGTTCTAGGGGTTTAGGGTTCTAGGGTTTAGGGGGCTCTAGGGGTTTAGGGTTCTGGGGTTTAGGGGTTTAGGGGGATTAGGGTTCTAGGGTTTAGGGGTTTTAGGGGGTTTAGGGTTAAAGGCTAAGGGTTCTAGGGGTTTAAGGGGGTTTAGGGTTTCAGGGTCTATAGAAGCTTGAATAAGCAGTGTTCGCTATATATAGTATAATCTGTTTAAATCAATAAATAAATAAATATATATATATATATACACACAATACAATACTATAGTATACGATACGGTAATGTAATTAATTTCATATGTTGTGATTTTATATATCATATAACTAATAAGGCATCAGCTACCCCGAAACCCGTATTGTCATTATCAAGGCGAGTATCTTATACCCAGATAGCGCAGTATGCCCTGAACAACCATACTCAAAGGATCATGTGCGCATAAACAAGGTAGCTATACCTATACTTACTTATAGCCTCACTAACCCTGGGCATCAAAATAGCCCAAAAGCCTGTTTTAGTATGGTCTTTGGGCCCAAAAGCCCTAATATATGAGTCCTTAGATCCCTACCTGGACCAAACCCTACTTTTTTGTAGGTTCTCATTATAAGCCCTAATATGGGATTTATAGGGGCCCTACAAAAAAGTAGGTTCTGGTAGGTCAAGGTAGGGTAAGGTGGTTTAGGGTTTCGGGTTTACGGGCCGAAGGGTCCAAGTGCCCACATACGAGGGTGACCGGACCGTCTGCCCATTTCAGAGTAGAGTTTGGGGCAGCCTTGTCCTTTGTCATGGCTCCCCCAAGAGAATATACAGACCGGCTAGTAGACCTTCTTAAATAAATCCTAGTAAGGGATATAGGTATAGGGCTCTGTCTATTATTTCAAAAAGGACAAGGGTGGAGTTTGGGGTGCCTAGAGGCATCCTTCAGTGGAGGAGGCCAAGGAAATCAGGGAGCACCATGCGACTCTCATACCCTAATACTCCAAATCCACAAAGTATCCTCAACTCTATAACCCTGAAACCCCAACTCTTAACCCTCAGCCCTAAACCCTAAGCCCCAAAACCCTACGTAAAACCTCAACTCTTAACCTTGAGTCCTAGGAAGGAGGCCCTGGGTCCAAAAGCTCTTAGCAACATCCTCCCCTACTGTAGAACCCTTTGATAGATACTTTATAGACCCCTTCAAGGTTCCCTTACAAGGGAACCCCAGTTCGGGTCTCTGTGAAAGACTTCAGAGGGCTTGCGGGATAGGGGTTTAGGGAAGAGCGGTGCGGCCTCGGTTCTATTGTGGCTTTACCCACAGCCTTAAAGGTTGACGGCAAAGTTTGCATGTTGAAACCCTAAACTCACACCCTACACGAATGGGTTGCAGTTGGTATAATGTGATATGGGTGGTTGTCAAAATTATGGTCCCTTTTTGGGTACCCTAAATATTAGGTGCCGTAGTATAATAAGGGTCCAAAAAGAGACCCTAATATTGACAACCACCCAAGTGATGTTTGGGACATTCTTACCCAAAAGGGTCCGAAGTGCCTATAAGGATTCCTTTAAGGGTTTAGGGTTTAGGGGTCCTTTAAGTGTTCCTAAGTACCTATATAGTGGAATGCATGGGTTTCTACCCGAATATTGACAACCACCTATATGATGAGTATGTTCGGGGGAGTCTGTAAGTTGGGATGGCTGTCAGGGCCCTACACCCAAAACCCCAAGCAACAAACCGAGGTTATCACAAAACTTAAGCCCTAAACCCGAAACCCCTGAAGCCCTAAACCTTAAAACTTATAAACCTCTAAACCCTAAACCCCGAAACCCTTAAACCCCCGATTATGTGGGTATTTGTGCAAGAGCCTTGCGGCATGTGCTCCGATGGACTGCGTCGATCCGCTGGGGGCTTTGTGTCAAGTTTTAAGCAGCCCTTTTGCCGAACCCAGAGGGTCCAGAGATACTGCGATTTTGGGGTTTAGGGTTGATCGTGTAGTTGCGTCGCCAGTGGGGGAACTTCAAATCTGTTTGGCCTGATATATGTGACCTATCTTGGAAAGTTTGAGCTTGTCATGGTTCCCTAAACCCTAAACCCTAAACCCTAAACCCTAAACCCTAAACCCTAAACCCTAAACCCTAATCCATAATTGTGGTGTCTATGGACTCTTGGCCGAGCACCAGCCGCCGAAATGATGGAAATGACTGGTTCTGTTTTGTCCCGCTGTAGGGGGCCCGGACCAGTTATCACCACTGCTACGGTTTAGGGTTTAGGGTTTAGGGTTTAGGGTTTAGGGTATTATTGTTATTATTACTATTATGGGTATTAGTATAGTATACTTCTAGGGATCAAGGCCCCCGCATACTTTTCGGGCTATCGGGCTCTGATAGTTTTCATGGCATCGGGATGATACTGACGAATAAGGTTGTGCATGTTGTTTCCTACCGGTGGGCTTTTTGACCCTGGAACCTCCACCTTAAATCCTCGCTACGGGGTTTAGGGTTCAGTAGCCATAAAACCAATATAATCCCGAAGGATAGCCTATAGTTCCTGTAGGATACGGGGAAAGAAGGATATTTGACGTCACAGGGGTCAACGATTGCTCGTCTAATTGCTTTTGATTTAGGGTGTAGGGGATTCCGTGTATTTAGGGTTTAGGATTCAAGAGTTCAGGTTCGGGGTTTGGGATTCCGGTGTTTGGGTTCCTGGGGTTGGCCGTCTCAATCCAAACTAATGTCTTAATATAGGGCCCTTGAGAATTTACTATGCTTTTGTGGGGTTCCTTATTATAAATACAGTATACTGGGGCCCCAAAACCTTATTCTAATTATTAAGGCCCCTATATTAATGTCTTCGCTACTCCGAAAGCTGTCTAGCATTGGGGCAGGCTGGCGACGCAGAAGCCAAACGATGTCGCGGCTGTGGATGCTACACCACGTAACATTGAGTTTTCGGCGGGTCTGCCAGCACCTGGGCATAAGGTAAAAGCCAGAAAGTTGGAATATGATTATCCTAACCCTTCTATGGTAAATTATAGGGTATCCTACCATGAAACCATATTCCAACTTTCTGGAGTTCCCTGTAACCCTAAAACCCGAAACCTTAAACCCTAAACCCCTCCCTGGGCACAATTTGATTCTGGAGCCGAGCCCCGAATCCTAACCCTTAGCTAGCGTCAGCCTTACCCTCTGGAGGGTCTGTATATACTGGGTTCAGGGTTTAGGGACACTACTATCATAGAGTTAGGTGCCCCGAAACCAAAATCACGATGATTTTTTTTGTGACCTAGTTCCATACTGGTAGTTTGGACGGACCCTCTGGGTTAAAGAACATCCCGACCACCCGGATCCAAAGAGTTTCCCAAGATCCGAACCAGAGGCTCGAACTCGAAACCCCAAGAGCCAAGACTCAACCCCAAGATACTCCCCTATGGTCCCCGTATTAATATAAATGCGACGGTATTTTACACATCAAGCCCAGGCCCCAACTACCAGAAACTCCCTACAGCACCCTCCAAAACCGTAATCAAAAATTCTGACAACACTCAGTCAAACAGCATGAACAATCCTGATCGCGCCATTGTACCGCCCGTCTAGAGCCCACTGAACACCTCCAGCTTTCTTGAGGCAAGTTTGAGCTACGAGCAGCTTTTCGAGTACTCAATGGTCGTCGCAAAGGGCTTGGAGGCCCTCGAACCCAAAGACTCCAATATCCCTTAATTAGGGAATATTCCTTAAATCATATTAGGGGTCCTACTATAATTTAAGGAATATTCCCTAATTAAGGGATATTGGAGTCTCTGGGAAGGAAGATTCGGAGTAGAGATGCTGGGTTTAGGGCTTCAGGCTAGGACTTTTGGATTGATGGTTTAGGGCCTTGGGTTGAGGGTTTCATGTTGAGGGTTAAAGTTTCGGGGGCTTGGGGTTTGGGGCTTTAGCTTCGTGTGTTTTCGGGGATCCGAGCCCGGAATCTAAACTGACTTTCTCTCTGAGTGCGTAACGTAACTTGAACGTTCAGCCCCTGAGCCCTAAACCCTAAGCGCTAAATGGGAGTTTCCGAAAATCAGGGGTGCCTTATTTGGGGGTCCTTATAGTAAGGATCCTACTATTTCGGGTACTATATTAGGGTCCCCTCTTTTCGGAAACTCCCAAATCCTCCAGTAAACCCAAAGGGTTTGTGCGCAGAAGTTGCGACTGAGGATTGTCCCTTATAAACCCTAAACCAAAGCTCAAAGCCCTGAAGCCTTCAGGCAACAACTCTGTCAAGTCCCAAGCCACGGTGGGGATAAGCGTGAGGGCTCCGTGTTTAAGGTTGTTCAGCCTTAATGCCTAAACCCCTTAACCCCTACCCCTAAACCTGAAACCTTTGACAACCCCCTAGAACCCAAACCCTTGAACCCCCAAACTGAACCCCCAAACTAAACTCGGCCCCTGCGAGGCACTGTGCCTTGCATCTGGCGGAGGCCGGCCCACCATTGGCACCTGCATGCGGCGTGGAAACGTGCCTTGGCGGTGGGGTGTAGGGGTCAAGATTTTAGGGGTGTAGGGATTTACGGGTTTAAGGGTTTCGGGGTTTAGGGTTGCAGGGTTTAGGGGTTTAGGGTTTCAGGCTTAGGGCTTTAGGGGTTTCGGGTGTATGGCTCAAGTTTTCCGGTTTTATGTAGCAGCCTCAATAATTACCAATGGCATTCTTAGGGTTCCTGAATATCCTAATACTGTAAAGGAGCCCAAAACCCTATTCTAGTTATTAAGGCCACTATACTTGGAGGGTCGGGGGACTTAGTAAGTAGGTAGTAAGTAGACTTATAAGTACCCTAAAAGGGACCCTAATTGGGGTTATGGTACGTATAAGTCCTTAAAATAACCAGTTACTAAGTCCCCCGACCCTCCAAGTAGTAGCCACCCCAAAGCCAGCAACCCGTCGTTAAGGAACATGCCCCTTTTCACAGGGGCCTCT